ATTTTACCAGGAAACATAGATAGGTCAGCCTAGAAAACTAAGTGCCCTCCTAACCATAGCCAAGCACTCCGAGTTTGTTGGCGGCTTCCAGTTTGCTCTATGAGTTCATGGTGACCTAACCCTAACCCTAAGTGGAATTTTCCTCCTATGGGATTTTCCCATGTACTTTACCAGGAAACATACAGAGGACAGCCTAGAAAATAAGTGCCCTCCTAATCATACACAAGCACTCCGATTTTGTTGGCGGTGTCCATTTTGCTCTATCAATTCATTGTGACCTAACCCTAACCCTAAGTGGAATTTTCCTCTTATGGGATTTACCCATGTATTTTATCAGGAAACATACATAGGGCAGCCTAGAAATGTAAGTGCCCTCCTAAGTATACCCAAGCACTCTGGGTTTTTTGGCAGCTTCCATTTTGCCGTATGAGTTCATGGTAACCTAACCCTAACCCTAAGTGGAATTTTCCTCCTATGGGATTTTCCCATGTATTTTACCAGGAAACATGGATAGGTCATCCTAGAAAAGTAAGTGCCCTCCTAACTATACCCAAGAACTCCGAGTTTGTTGGTGGTGTCCATTTTGCTCTATCAATTCATGGTGACCTAACCCTAACCCTAAGTGGAATTTTCCTTTTATGGGATTTTCCTTTGTATTTTACCAGGAAACATAGATAGGGCAGCCTAGAAAATAAGTGCCCTCCTAAGCATACACAAGCACTCCGAGTTTGTTGGCAGCTTCCATATTGCTCTTTGAGTTCATGGTGACCTAACCCTAACCCTAAGTGGAATTTTCCTTTTATGGGATTTTCCTTTGTATTTTACCAGGAAACATAGATAGGGCAGCCTAGAAAATAAGTGCCCTCCTAAGCATACACAAGCACTCCGAGTTTGTTGGCAGCTTCCATATTGCTCTTTGAGTTCATGGTGACCTAACCCTAACCCTAAGTGGAATTTTCCTCCTATGGGATTTTCCCATGTAGTTTACCAGGAAACATAGATAGGGCAGACTAGAAAAGTAACTGTCCTACTAACCATACCCAAGCACTCCGAGTTTTTTGTCACTGTCCATTTTGCTCTATCAATTCATGGTGACGTAACCCTAACCCTAAGTGGAATTTTCCTTTTATGGGATTTTCCTTTGTATTTTACCAGGAAACATAGATAGGGCAGCCTAGAAAATAAGTGCCCTCCTAAGCATACACAAGCACTCCGAGTTTGTTGGCGGCTTCCAGTTTGCTCTATGAGTTCATGGTGACCTAACCCTAACCCTAAGTGGAATTTTCCTCCTATGGGATTTTCCCATGTATTTTATCAGGAAACATAGAAAGGGAAGCCTAGAAAATAAGTGCCCTCCTAACCATACTCAAGCACTCTGAGTTTGTTGGCGGTGTCCATTTTGCTCTTTGAGTTCATGGTGACCTAACCCTAACCCTAAGTGGAATTTTCCTCCTATGGGATTTTCCCATGTATTTTGCGAGGAAAGCTAGATAAGTCAGCCTAGAAAATAAGTGCCCTCCTAACCATATTCAAGCACTCCGAGTTTGTTGGCGGTGTCCATTTTGCTCTATCAGTTCATTGTGACATAACCCTAACCCTAAGTGGAATTTTTCTCTTATGGGATTTACCCATGTATTTTATCAGGAAACATACATAGGGCAGCCTAGAAAAGTAAGTGCCCTCCTAACCATACCCAAGTACTCCGGGTTTTTGGGCAGCTTCCATTTTTCCGTATGAGTTCATGGTAACCTAACCCTAACCCTAAGTGGAATTTTCCTCCTATGTGATTTTCCTATATAATTTAAGAAGAAACATAGTGCAGCCTAGAAGAGTAAGTGCCCTCCTAAGCATACCCAAGCACTCCCAGTTTGTTGGCAGAGTCCATTTTGCTCTATGAGTTCTTTGTGACCTAACCCTAAGTGGAATTTTCCTCCTATGGGATTTCTGCATGTATTTTACCAGGAAATATTGATAGGGAAGCCTAGAAAAGTAAGTGCCCTCCTAAGCATAGACAAGCACTCCGAGTTTGTTGGCAGAGTCCATTTTGCTTTATGAATTCTTTGTGACCTAACCCTAACCCTAAGTGGAATTTTCCTCCTATGGGATTTTCCTTTGTATTTTACCAGAAAACATAGATAGGGCAGCCTAGAAAATAAGTGCTCTCCTAACCAAACCCAAGAATTCTGAGTTTGTTGGAGGTGTCCATTTTGCTCTATGAGTTCATAGTGACCTAGCCCTAACCCTAAGTGGAATTTTCCTCCTATGGGATTTTCTGATGTATTTTACCAGGAAACATAGAGAGGGCAGCCTAGAAAAGTAAGTTCCCTCCTAACCATAGCCAAGCACTCCAAGTTTGTTGGCGGTGTCCATTTTGCTCTATCAATTCATTGTGATGTAACCCTAACCCTAAGTGGAATTGTCCTCTTATGGGATTTACCCATGTATTTTATCAGGAAACATACATAGGGCAGCCTAGAAAAGTAAGTGCCCTCCTAAGTATACCCAAGCACTCCGAGTTTTTTGGCAGCTTCCATTTTGCCGTATGAGTTCATGGTAACCTAACCCTAACCCTAAGTGGAATTTTCCTCCTATGGGATTTTCCCATGTATTTTACCAGGAAACATAGGGCAGGCTGGAAAATAAGTGCTCTCCTAACCAAACCCAAGAACTCTGAGTTTGTTGGAGGTGTCCATTTTGCTCTATGAGTTCATGATGACCTAACCCTAACTCTAAGTGGAATTTTCCTCCTATGTGATTTTCCTATGTATTTTACGAAGAAACATAGTGCAGCCTGGAAGAGTAAGTGCCCTCCTAAGCATACCCAAGCACTCCCAGTTTGTTGGCAGAGTCCATTTTGCTCTATGAGTTCTTTATGACCTAACCCTAACCCTAAATGGAATTTTCCTCCTATGGGATTTCCGCATGTATTTTACCAGGAAATATAGATAGGGAAGCCTAGAAAAGTAAGTGCCCTCCTAACCATACTTAAGCACTCTGAGTTTGTTCGCGGTGTCCATTTTGCTCTATGAGTTCATGGTGACCTAACCCTAACCCTAAGTGGAATTTTCCTCTTATGGGATTTTCCCATGTATTTTACCAGGAAACATAGAAAGGGAAGGCTAGAAAATAAGTGTCCTCCTAACCATACCCAAGCACTCCGAGTTTGTTGGCAGTGTCCATTTTGCTCTATCAATTCATTGTGACCTAACCTTAACCCCTAACCCCAAACAATAAACCCTAAACCCTAAACCAAAACCCTAACCCCAAAACCCAACCCTAACCCCAACCCAAAGCCTAACCCTATCCCTAACCCCTAACCCCAACCCTTAATTACGAACCCCTAACTCCTAACCACGAACCCCTAACCCAGAATCCTAAGCCTAACCACGAATCCTAACCCTAACCCGTGTCAATCAGCGCAGCATTGTGAGGAGCCTTCCCTGGAATTCAACTCACAAATGGGTTGTTTTCATTAGGCAAATTTTATAGCGTCCAACCTTTCTTTCCCCCTCCGCTCCCAGAGTTGCTTAGTTTCAAGCATCAGCAAGGAATGTTTACATATTAATGATGGATTAAGTGTGTTGTGGGCACCTGCTACAACAAAAGTGAGAAATAATTATATAACTGGGATTAGGCCAGAAAGCTTGTTATTTCACAATTTGGAAGTATAATTAGGAAGTGCTAACTTATCTAAGCAGTCTCTGCTCCAGATGTTAATTTAAGAATGTATCCTGTGTGGTGTTTTCAATCACACTGTCCACCGTATCAATGGAACCAAGTTAGCTGGAGCCTCCATTCCTACATCCTTACTGCACCCTTCCCTGTTGTGTTTTCCTAATCTGTAGCACTCAAATCACCATTTCCTCTGGATACACAGACATATTTCCAATATTTGTCTTGTCTATTAGTTAAAATCTCTCTATCTGAAGAAAGCAAAGAGCTCTCCTTCCATTTCCTCCTTCTTGCTATTGGCAAGTACATGTCTTACTCTACCCTGCCTCGGTCAGGCCTTATTTCAAATACTGATGAAGCAGTGCCTGAAGTGCTGCTGGAGGTTGACAAAGTGCAAACGTGACCTAGCACAGCTTAGAAGCACTACTAAGGCCTACCAAAGCCTCAGTACATCTCTGTCCTTATTGCATTTGTGGAGAGCAGTCCAGCCACCCTATTCAAAGAGACTCTCCTGTTTAAGGAAGCCCAGTTCACCTGCAGGACCACATAGGGGAATATACAATGCATATACAGTCAGGCAAAATTGCTTGGATCTGTCACAGTTGGAATCCAGCCTTGGTACAATTCCTAGGTGGTATCTGGGACACATGCCATGCCCTGTTACCTGGGATGACTTTGATCCTGTTGGGCCAGATGGACAGAATCCTCGCAAGTTTATTCTGATGTCTCCTGACCGGCAAAGGTCTCCCAGAGGATGATGCATGGCTGGGTTCTCACAACACAACTGTAAACCCTTGAGCCACGAGGTTGTCCCTTTGCCACTTGCTGGCCTCATCCCCTTCTCAAGGAACTATCTGTAGACCCAACCATACTAGATGATTTTTGTAATGTACCCAGCCTTCTCTTTTTAGAGAAGGATGTTGAGAAAGCGGTTGCACAGTAGCTTGAAAGGATCCCGGATGAAGCAGATTATCCGGACCTCTCTCGGGCAGCTTCAGGCCTGCAATTGAAACAGCGCTGCTTGTGCCTGCCTGCTGGTGGGATGGTGGCCAGCGCCCTCCTCCTCGACCCGCTCACTCTTCAGCACCATCATCCCACCAGCTGGGCACAGCCTTGGGCGGAGGCCCCGGAGCGGGCCGCGCTGCCTTCTGCCCCTCCTCCTCCTCCTCCGGCCTCTCCACGTGAGGCTGGTCTCGGGGGTGCTGGCCGCTCTCAACCCCCTCCCGTCTTCCGCGGGAGGAGGCTGCCCGGAGGCCGGGATGGGGAACCCAGCTGACAGGACCAGCTTCGGGGTTCTGGGGTCTGCTGGCAACCCGGGGATTCGTCGCCCCTCGTTCAGGATTTGGGGGGGAAGGTGGGGGGCTGCGCTTCCCCAGACGGACCACGGGGCGCAGTCTCCGAGGGGATTCGCGACACGGGAGAGGCGCGATCAGACAGACTTAGCGGCGGCCATCAAGCGCCAACCCGACACGTGGATCGTCTATAGCGGTCCGGGAAGGCCCGGTCCTCCGGGAGGGGCTGTCGGACGACGACGATTCCCCCCCCAACAAGCCGAAGGAAACGCGGGGAAACACGGGAGAGGCTGCGAGGGCGGGTCTCACGAGCGTCGCCCAGAGCGCATGGCGCGGCAACCTCCAGCCCCGCTTCCAGGCCCGGCCGCGTTCCCCTCCGGCGCACTCCGATGACGCTACCGCGGGCCGCCTCAACGGCTTCCGGCGGAGAACCGTCACTTCCGGGCAGTGAGGCGCGGCGGCCGCCATCTTGGGCGGCTGCGGGAGGCGGCGGCCGGGTGGGCGCGCGCGATCGGCGGCGACGCTGCCGCTCTGTTTTCCCCTCCCCTCACCCCCCCCCACCGGCCATGGCCGGGCAGTTCGACGCGGAGGACCAGGCGAGCTGGTACTGGGGGCGGCTGAGCCGGGCGGAGGCGGTGGAGCTCCTGCAGGGGCAGCGCCACGGCACCTTCCTGGTGCGGGACTCGGGCAGCATCCTGGGCGACTTCGTCCTCTCCGTCTCGGAGAGCTCGCGCGTGTCGCACTACATCGTCAATAGCCAGGGCGGGGGCGGGGCGGGGGCGGCCCCCCCGGCGCCCGGTGAGTCCCCTCCCTGCATTCCTTCCCTCCCCCCTCCCTCTTTTTCCGGGTTCTGCCCCGCCTCCGCCGCCCGGGCCCGGCCGAGGGAGCGTCTGGGCGGCATCTCCTTCGCCCGGCTGAAAAATTCGCTTTTGCACTTGCCCATCCTTCAAATCCCCTCGTGGTCTCCTGTCCAGGCATTGAGCAGGACCGGCTGCTTGTGTTGTTTGAGATGAGCCGGCGTGGCCTCTGTTGCCGGCCGCTGCTTCCGTGTAGTTGAACCGATGCTCTTTGGCAGTCTGAATGTGGGCCTTCTCGTAAAAGCCCTTCCTTTTGGGCAACTGAAGCCCCAGTGAGCTGCCTGCCCTCTGGGCTGCAGCGCGAGGATTCGGACCCTTCCTGTGAGTCCGAGTTACCTCCGAAAAGCTTCCATTTGATTTTGCTGCTTATAAAGTGGATTTATGCATACCTTGCATGCTAAATGTACAGACTCATAATGATGGTACTGCAAAGTAACAGATATTTATTTAGATTTTCATTTTTAAGAAACATTGATTGAATGCTAACTGTTCTTAGTGTTGCCTGTTTTGTTTCATTATTTCCCTTTTTGTTGCCCCTCCTCCCCCTCCTGCAGGGTTGTCTCCTAAGTTTCGGATAGGTGATCAAGAGTTTGACTCTTTACCGGCTTTGTTGGAGTTCTACAAAATACACTACTTGGACACTACAACATTGATAGAACCTGTTTCGAAATCAAAGCATAACAGTGATGCGCAGCTCAGACAGGAAGAAGTTGAATATGTGCGTGCTCTTTTTGACTTTAATGGCAATGATGAGGAAGATCTCCCATTTAAGAAAGGAGACATACTGAGGATCTGGGAAAAGCCCGAAGAGCAGTGGTGGAATGCAGAAGACGGTGGTGGCAGACGAGGCATGATACCTGTTCCTTATGTCGAGAAGTATAAACCTGCCTCTGCTGCAGTTTCCCCTCCGATTGGAAGTAACCAGGATAGTACCCACCCACAAGCATTGGGTGGGCCAGAACCAGGTCCCTATGCCCAGCCTAGCATCAATACTCCACTCCCCAACCTTCAGAATGGGCCAATACTTGCCCGGGTTATTCAGAAGCGGGTCCCTAATGCTTATGACAAGACAGCCTTGGCCTTGGAGGTACGTAGTAGTGCAGTGCAGAGAGAACTCTCACTCACATTCTCCCATTTTGAAAGGAATGGGGGAACCCTTAGGTTGTTAATTTGCAAGTAGCAAGGCTTCCCATCACTGATGCTGATGTTCCCCCCAAATGTAGCATGCAGAAAGATTAGCGTGATCTTCTTAAAATGGACAGTATTTCTGCACTGTGAATGCTGTGTGTGTATGTGTGTTTGTTTCTTCCATGAGAAGCCCCTAATCACTTAAGTTCTGTCTGAAGCGTGTTTCAGAGGAAAAGTTGCTACTGTGAAAAAAAATTAGTTGGGCCTTTTATGCCCAAGTTCATGGGCCATACTGCTTAAGAGGGTTTATACATATTAACTATTTTCTTGGGTGTCAGCTAAATGTGTCCCAGCTTGATTGCTTCCAACAAAACAGAATAAGGCAGGAAATGGCACTGGAAATGATTGGGGTGCTATTTCTCTTGGGAACTGATTGCAGAAGGTCCTGTCTTAATTCGTATCACTACATGTAGTCCTCAACATACGACCACAATTGAGCCCAAAATTTATGATGTTAAGTGACAGATTTGTTGAGTTTTGCCCCATTTTAGGGCTTTTCTTACCACATTTAATTGAATCACTGCAGTTATTAAATTAGTATCACGGTTGTTAAGTGAATCAGGGTTCCCTATTGACTTTGCTTGTCAGAAGGTCACAAAAGGGGATCACATAACTCTGGGACACTGCAACCTTCAAAAATGTGAGTCAGTTGTCAAGCATCCAAATGTAAATCCCATGACCCAAAGTGATTTACGACCATTTTTCACACTTATGTTGTAGTCATGTGTGAAAAATGATCGATTTTTCATAGCCATTGTAACTTCAAACAGTCACTAAAAGAACTGTTGTAAGTCGAGGACTACCTGTACTTAAGTTTCCTTGTGTTGCTTGAATTGCTTCCATACTTACATGAAACACTATGACTGCCTATTAGTAGCTCAGTGTAAACTGGCTTTCTGGTGCATTCTGCTTGCCTTGGGAGAAATCCCACACTGGTCTGTTAAGGAACACTAATTGCGACAATCTTGGCTTATATATTTAAAGGGAAATACATCCTTGTTCCCAGAATATTACTTTGTTCTCCATCTGGGATTGTTCTGTAATTGTTTCTGAAGTCATTACTGTTAAGCAGAACTCCCAGAATGATGTGCATGACAACAGAGCTCTGACTTTTCCTCTGTCAAATGGGCAGGCTTAGAAATGTAGTTCCAGAGATGAAGAAAATAATACATCAGTAATGTGCAAAATTCTGGTCATTTTTAACTTTTAGTATTTGAGTTGCTTTCTCTGGGTGTTTGGGTAAGGTAGATCATAATTTGTGTTGAAAGTTTATTGAGTAGCAAACGCAAATTATCTGGCTTGGTTCTTTGCTTTCTGGAATAAAAGGAACTTTACTCTACAGCCCTGCCATCTTTTGGAACAAAACCTGAGATTCAATAGCCGGTGTATTTCCCTCTTGGTGGAAAAGGAGTAGGAGAAAAGCTGTAGTTCTTGCTATCAAAGGACCAGGCTAGGAGCAGCTACTACCGCCGGTTCCTTGTTTAGCCATATTGCTTTCTACTGACCATGTTGCCGTTAGTCAGGGGGCTTTCCCAGAACATGCCTGTTTGGATACCTGCCCAAGGAATTGAAGAGTCATTCACAATGTTGACAGTGGTGTGTTTCTTGGTTTGCAGGTTGGTGAACTAGTCAAGGTCACCAAGATTAACATGAGTGGCCAGTGGGAAGGAGAGTGCAATGGCAGACGTGGCCATTTCCCATTCACACATGTCCGGATGCTGGATCAACAGAATCCTGAAGAGGACTTCAGCTGAAAAGGACCCCACTTCTGCCTACGGATGGGAGCAAGCACCTGGAGTTTCATTGCTGCAGCAATGGAGACTGTTTCTTGAGAAATCAAAAGTAGGGTTGTTTCTGCCAGCATTCTGGTATCGATGATGAACTGTCCCTGGGACACAACACTCATGCGGTGCTTGTGATTTCAGGGCACGGCTTCTGTGCCAAGAGGTAGGTCAAAGACATTACATTCCCCCCCTCCCCCAAGAGTAGGACAAGAATGCTACCCAGGGCTGTGGAGCTCAGGCTTTGCCAGTTGCATGGCTTTCTCTGTAGGTAGATAATAACCTGATTGGCTTGATAGGACATTCATGGCTTGCTAGCCTAAATATTCCTCTGGATCTGATATATATTGCAATTTCTGTCTCATAACTGCTTGTTGCAAAATGAGTACACTATGCACCGCTCTGGTCTATTTTCTAAGTGTATTTTGATACTGGGATAGCTGGAGCTTAATGATTATATTTTGGATGCATTAGGGCGAAGTCTGCTCATTATTGTGAGTTCCAGAAATTTGTCTTTAGTACAGACATAGCAAGTAGCTGATTTAATTTCAGAGATAGATGTTAATGGATATTAAATATTGGTGGAATGTTAAGCTTCCCTTAAAGTGCAGAGAACTATGTTCATTGTACTTTTTTAATTGCCGACTTGTCTGAGCACTACACTCCAAAGCATTAGCCAACTGTAGGAAGAGATGAGTGCCTGAAAATTTCTTTTTAGTACTGTCTACTTACTCCCTATATCAAGGCAAATATTGCTATGATAAATGAAAATGCCAAATACTTTCTTCTATAAATGGTTGCTTTCAAACTGGTTCAATCTGCAAAGCATTCATATGGTGGTTTCATGAACTTATTTTTAATAAACTAATGAAAATACTAAAATACTTTTGGATTGATTCTAAAACGTGAATAGTTTATACACACAATATCTTTCCACTACTCATGACTTGAACAAACCTGTTTTTTCTACTAACGTTTCCCAGACTGCTTGTTGCCAAGTTTCTTTTTAACTTAATATTGCTAGAAAAAGAATAAACTTTAAGCAACAAGATTTCCTTTGTTATCAAAATGAGCCTGCCCGATACTCTTCCCAAAAATGAACTGCAGGTATGTCATACACCATCTCCTATTCCATTAATGAAGGAGGAAAATGTCCTTTATTGCTTATGTAATAGTGCCGTTCTGTTCTTGCTTTAAGAATATTGAAATGGCTAGATCCCACTTACCTGTCAGGGAAATCCCATGCACCCCTCCCCCCCCCCAATAATCAATTAGAATATGAACAAAGCGGTCAATCCCTATATTTACATAAAGTTGCATTACCCATAAAGGGCTGGGTCTAAGTATATTTTTCAGGGGAGTTGGCAGTAGATTATGGAATGTACTACCCAATCATCCTTAGTTGTTAAGTCAGCTTTTCAACATAATGGAAGTGTGTAGATCCCAATTTCTATGGATCCACAGATGGGAATGGTCCATTCCCTAGTAAAATGGTTATCCATTGGTGACACTATGCAAAGCACTGCCGCCCAGTGGATCACATAGGCTGGGAGATTAGATTTGTTCAGAGAACTGAGTGCTTAGCACAAAGTCTCAACTACATTTCTCAAGGTCTTGGGAAAGGCAGCAGTGCCACCAGCTGCCTTTTTTCCTAATGCATTCTTGGAAACCAGAGAATCTCCAATTGAGGTTGGTTGATTTTCTGTACTCTTGCAGGAAGTACCTCTTAAAGAGATATACAGAAGTTTTATTTAACAGGATACGCTGCATTAAAGTAGAAATATAGTTTATTATAATACATTTCTGCTTAGGCTCTGCCAAGTTGGCAGCATTAGAAACACAAGGGCAATGTTTTCATTGTAAGTAATGTTGGAAATTCCTGTGACCAATTCTGCAATGGTGATCCTTCAGAATTCCTGGAATGATACTCAAACCCTGTGGTTTGTTGGATTTTGACCAGTTATTGTGATTTATAAACCATATTGCTTGTGTACTACAAAACTAATAAATTTTGTTTTATTCACTAAACCATGACAGTATAGTATGTAAAACTATTCAATATGTTCATGTATTATGCTTTGCTTTTGGTTTAATGTGTGAATCGTCCCATTGGAGTTTATTCAGCAAATCAACTACAGAAGAACAAATGTATTATTCCAGTATTCATATTTCAACCACTTTATTTCAGTTTTCAAAGTATGGTTGCAATATTATCACCCTTCCTCTTCATCTAGTACAGTGGTTCTCAACCTGTGGGTCGGGACCCCATTTGGGGTCAAATGACCATTTCACGGGGGTCGCCAAACCACACTGTCCGCCATTTTTTTTCCTTTTCCCTAGCTGTCCTACTCCCTCTTATTGGTGGCCACACCCACTTGGGGGTCACCACAACATGGGGAACTGTATTATGGGGTCACGGCATTAGAAAGGTTGAGAACCACTGATCTAGTATCATCATTCATTACTGTAATGAAGCAACTGCTTTGCTTGAAAACCTCCTAGGCAGTTAATTTTGGGTAGTTAGCTTTTCCCTGAATTAGAGTGACCTGGCACTGGTCACTATTTTTATTTTGTGATGCATTTTTGCATAGTATTACACTACTCAATTTAAATGGGTTATTTCTTTCTAGCTAGCATTTTAGTCAAGCCCAACATTTCAGAATGCAACCCGATGTCATCAAAGCTTGTTAATCTATTATAACTGCAAGTATTTTAATCATTTTTAATAACATGCTGTCGGATTGAAAAATGCTGTACACAAACTAAAGCAAAAGCATATATCAAATGTGCCCTGTATTATATAACACTACACACTTTCTTGACAGTTATTTTTTGTAGCCTGTAATCAACATGTGTATAATATGTGGCGTAAATAAAAATTGCAAAAGTGGAATTGTGATTCATTGCCTTAACAATATAAGTGCATGGATAGGCAGTGGGTGGGCTGATTTAAAGGCACACCATATTGTTCAAAGAAACATTTTTTAAAATTCTTTTATTGTTTTTAGAATAGTGACAAAAAGAAGTGAAAAAAGAACAAATACAAAGAAAAATACACTATCAAAGAAAAATGCATTTTTTAAAAAAGTGAAATAAAATACAGCAAAGAAAAAATATCATTTTAATAGTAAAGTAACTTTATATAGTTATCTAGTGCAATTATAAATACAAATTTGAGTGATATTAAATGACAAGATCAGTTGTCAAAGATTTATTCACTTGCTCTGAGAAGCACTGCCAGTTTAAATCTGTAGTAAAAGCCTGGAGAGTGGATCAAGCTAAATATAGCTGTGAAATCCTTTGTTATGGCTGATGCTAAAGAACGTGCCACATGATTAGTAACAAATTCAGACAAAAGTATCCATGCTGATCCTAGCTCTTCTTAAATAGAAGTCAGTTGGAAGGGACCTTTGAGATCTTCTAGTCCAACCCCTGCTCAGGTAGGAAACCCTAACCAATTTCTGACAAATGGCTGTCCAGTCTCTTCTTAAAAGTCTCCAGTGATGGAGCACCCACAATTTCTGGAGGCCAGTCTTTCCAATGATTAATTGTTCTGTTAGGAAATTTCTCCTTAGTTCTAGGTCAGAGGTCTCCAACCTTTTGGGGCTTTTGCAAACAGGGCCGCAGGCGCTAATGCAAGTGGGGAAGAATGCGCGCCCATGCATGTGAGCCAGCCATTTCTGCAGCCCACTGGCCAAGAGCCGGGACCGGGGCCACGGCCCATAGATTGGAGACTCCTGTTCTAGGTTGCTTCTCTCCTTGATTAGTTTCCATCCATTCCTTCTTATTCTAACTTCAGGTACTCTGGAGAATAGGTCGACCCCCCTCTTCTCTGTGGCAGCCCCTCAAATATTGGAACACTGCTGCCATATCCCCCTAGTCCAGTGGTTCTCAACCTTTTTAATGCCGTGACCCCCCAACCGGTCGTAAGTCGAGGACTACCCAACCGGTCATAAGTCGAGGACTTTCCCTGCCCGGGAGCACCGTGCATGCATGGTGCCGCCCCCTATGCCGGCCGAGGCGTAGCTGGCAAGCGGCAGAGATGGCACAGGCCGACCACCGGCTGGGCCACCAGCTGGCCCAGCCCAAGGGAGGTAAGGCACCCGCCGGGCCCCACGTGCGCCAGCAACCCTCCCTGCGCCCGCTGGCCTCCCACCTCCCACCCCTTGCCCTCTTTTACTTACATTTTTAGTAGTTGCTCAGCAGGGAGGGGTGGAAACTTCCAGACAGCTCGCCTTCGCTGCAGACAACTTGCAGCACCATTTGCAGAATGGGACTTTTGGTGGGCTCAGCAGGGCAGAGACAGCCTGGACAATTCCTATTGGCTTTTGAAAGCCAATAGAATTACACTCTATTCAAGAGAGTCTATTCTATTGGCTTTCAAAAGCCAATAGAATAAAAGGAAGTAGCACAGCTAAGGAAAAGGGAAAAAATGGTGGACTGCATTGTTTGGCGACCACCGTGAAATGGTTGTTCGACCCCAAATGGGGTCCCGACCCACAGGTTGAGAACTACTGCCCTAGTCCTTCTTTACGCAATTCCAGCAACCATTCCTTATGTTTTAGCCTCCAATCCCCTGATCATCTTTGTTGCTCTTCTCCGCATTCTTTCTAGAGTGTCAACATCTTTTCTACATCGTGGCGATCAAACCTGGATGCAGTATTCCAAGTGTGGCCTTACCAAGACATTATAAAATGATATTAACACCCCATCAGTTGAATATCAAGGGGAAAAGTGACCAAGTCCCCAGGCCTGGGGTCGGCATGGGTGTGATTTGTCAAGCTCCTGTTGTATGGCTTTTTGTACTGTTTGTGGTTTTAATCCTGGCTGCCTATGTGGGCTTTAATGATTTATTTTTAATAGATTTTGTATGCCACTCAGAATCTTTTGGAATGGACAGCTATATCAAATTTAATAGATTAAGTTGTAAGCAAGTACAGTTGCTCCTTATTCAAACAATTCACAAAGTTAGGGCTCACCTAATGTCCATTAGATTAGGAGGCTATTCCAGAGGGCCAGTTGCTATCACTAAGTGGCACCTCCCGGTCTTAGCCCCCATGACCTCCCAATAGTGGGATTCCACCAGCTGCTATTTCAGCTTGATCAAATGGGTTGGGCCAATTGTAGCTGCTGAATGGCAGTCTGCAGTTAACTTGGTGCCAGGTCTACACAGGTTAATGCCAAGTTTTTAAACTGCCCCCAAATGCCTCCAGCAGTCAATATGGAACCTGTAATACAGGTGCAATGTGCTCCTATTAGAAATGGCTGCTACAATTTGGACTAACTGAAGTTTGCATGTGAAGGGTGTTGCAGTAGACTGAATGGCATCAAAGGCAGGAATCAGAGCAACCAGGTCCCCTCATCTGAGACGGCTGCAACTGGTGCACCAGCCAAAACTGGCAAAGGACCCCTCAAGCCACAGCTTCAACCTGCCAATTCGGCAAGAGCCACAAGTCCAGGAGGCCCTTAATTGACAAAACTACCTGGCTACCCAAATACAAACTGCTGCTCAACTTACACCTCGCAGAGTCCCCAATCCCGATGACCCTGGAGTAAAGAAAATAAAACGAGCTCCTCACCGATCAATGGTTCAAAGATAATCAAACCTCCCTGACATGCAGGGATAGCCTGGCTTACAAGGGGGGGGGGAATTATCTCTACCCGGTGGATGTCATTGCGTCCAACCTAGAGGAAGAAGCATCTGAATGGCTGAACAATCTATATAGTGAGCAAGCCCCCGAACTGGGAGATCCCCACCTTTTCCTCCTAGGACTGAGAGAAAGATTTGAGGACCCATCCATAGGCCTCAAAGCAGCAGAACAGATCCACAAAATAAAACAAGCCAGCAGGCCTGCCCTGGAGTACGTGCGAGAGTTCCACAAGATAGCAGGTCGAATAGAGGGGTGGCCTGAGCAATCCCTAATACATCACTTCATTGAGGGATTAGATGATCACCTCTCTCAGGCCTGCATCATTCGGGCAGTACCTGATCAGCTACAAGAGTGGTACCAGACAGCGATGAAGCTAGACATTAAGCTCACTCGCTATAAGAAGCCTCCCTCACCTGAAATTGAACCGAAACCAGAACGACCCAGACGACAACCACCCCCCTGGAAACACCCAACAACTACATCTATCGAAAGACCCAGGCCACCTGCAGGGCCATTGCTCATGTACTTCCGATGCAGACAACAGGGACATCGAGCAGCGAACTGCCCAGTTCCCTATCCCCAACAGCAGAGCAGACCGAGACCCGCAACGAAGAAGTCTGATCAGCAGCCAGCGAGAGGAAAATCCAATTGGATCAAACAAGAACTGGTTGCCCAAGTCACATCCCCCACACAGGAGGACGCCAAGACTAAGGCTGGATCCTTCCCCGCTCTACCCTCTCTTGACAGCGATGACGAAGGAGAGAAGTGTTAAAGAAACTATTGAATGCCAAGCTTTATGCCAAATTGTCAAAATGAGAATTTCACCAGACCCGATTAGACTATCTTGGCTACAGAATTTCCAATGAAGGTATTGAAATGGATCCAGCCAAGGTGAAAGCCATAATTGAATGGCAGCCCCCAAAGACTCACAAACAACTCCAAAGCTTTCTGGGTTTTTATTGTCAATTCATCCCCTCTTTTGCCGGTCGTGGCTTCCCTCCTCCTTTGCCTGTTTTGAGTAGTTCTACTGAAGCAGTAGATGTGAACTTAAATGGACTCCAGAAGATGGTAGAGGACAGGAAGACCTGGAGGAACATTGTCCATGGGGTCGCGATGGGTCGGACACGACTTCGCAATTAACAACAACAACAAATAAAAAGCAGGCTGATAGAAAGAGGGCTCCCCAAAGAACATTCCAAGTTGGGGAAAAGGTTTATTTGTCAACTAAATATTTATGCCCATTTGTCAACTAAATATTTCTTGCCCAGCAAGAAATTGGGACCGAAATTCTTGGGGCTTTCCCCCATAGTAAGGATCATCAATCCAGTCACCATAGAACTAAAGCTCCCTAGACTTTTAGGGAGAATTCACCCAGTCTTCCATTGCAGCTTGTTGAAACCTTATCAGGGCTCCACTTTAAGACCTCCCCCAAAGAAGGCACCCGGGCCCCTCGTAGTTGCAAGACAGACCCACTTTGAAGTGAAACGTATTCTTGACTCTAGAATTTTTAAAGGGAAATTGCAGTAGCTAGTACAATGGAAGGGATACACGTTGTCTGAAGCCACCTGGGTGAAATCCAGTGAGGTGAAAGCTGACAGGCTCATCAAAAGGTTTCATGCGAAATACCCCAACAAAGCGAAAACTAATCCTTAACCTATGCTTTTGTTTACATTGCAGGAACTGTCCTTTTTGTAAGGGGGGCCGGACGTCAAGACTGCTAACATCGGATGTTCTTGCTTGACATAAATGCAGAAGCAAACCTGTTTTATTTAACCTGTATATCACTTCTAGAGTTAAAGTCAAACAATGTTAGAATAGCGGGTTGGAAAGTATGTAATCAGGGAATAGTTAGCCACAACATATTTCAGTACAGTATTTCCAAGGTCAAATGGAACTAGAGGAGTTATAGGAGGGAAAATTCGCACTTCAAACTAATTGGATAACGTGTTTGATGACTGTTAAATGAAGCAATGAGTTATGTTTTGTTACAGGTGATTGGGGGAGGGAGGATTCAGTTTTTGGCTTCATTATGTACGTGCCAAAGCTATGTAGCAATAAAAGGATTCTTGAAGGTAAACAAAGCCTCAAAGTGATTTGAAAAGCTGCTTCTTTCGGAACCATGACATCTCCATTCAGATGCGCCCATAGACAAACCAGTAATTGGACATCCTAGAGATCCCCCTCCCCCCAATCCTCTGAGACTGTGTAGGCCACAAAGAATCCCAGATAATCTGCTAAGATG